ATTACTTTTCCTTCAAATAATTTATTCGGTAATATATACGAATCCAAATTAAAAGCTACAAGATTAATTGCAGCTGTATCATCGACTAAGTCCCATGTTGATATTTCACCTTCGCCATTTGAATTAATATATGTTCGTTTTGGATGTGTACAGCTAATAATTGCTTGTAATTTCCATCTATATTATATGTTGTACAAGGAAGAAATTATAGATATAATTTACCATGTCAATTAAATAAAGAATAAAATATGCAAATGAAATTTTAATATAACATAAATTATTTGATATTAACAAAAAAAAAGAAAGCAAACGAAGTATCGGTCAAATTAGATCAATAAAATTAAGATCGTCAAAAATATTAGACGTTAACACAATACATCGATCAACAAATCGATAACTTACGGAAAATCAATATCGGTATTAATTTGATTAATTTTTATTAGTTTTGGTTCATTGTCTATAATATATTTTAAAATTAAATCATTAGGTTATAAAAGAAAAATTTTGAAACATTCAATTTTTGAAGAGTTAATAAATGTGAATCTATTTCTGTTTAATTTTGTAACTAAGAATGAGAACTTTAGTAATATAAATATCGCTATGCGATTATTTTAAATTTAAATAAAAAAAAGTGATTAGAAACATCAAATAAAAGTAAATCTTTTTTTTTATACTACATACTTGTTTGTATGTTTAATATTTCGATAATATCTTCAGTTGATTCATGATTTTCATTACATTGAGAAAGTTGATTATTTGGAGTATTATTATTTTCAGAAGTATTTTTATTAACAACAACATTGTTGTGATCATTATTAAATGATGTAGAATTGTTTAAGCTTTGTTCGACTGATGTATTTAATGTTGATTGTAAGCTACCAAAAAAAATCGTATATGAGTTAGTTAAATTGACGACCTTACGTTTCATTTGAATTATTATTCATCAATTGTTCATACATATGAATTACAGAATGATCAATATCCATTTTAATCTGAAATGAAAAAAAAAGTTGCATATTGTTTTAAGTATTTAACTTTAATTGTCAAATATCCAAATGAATAGAACTGTTAATTAAAAAATCATAGAGAGAAAAATTATCATATTGATCAGAAGTTCAAGAAGAAGAAGATTGATTTGTTGATGAAGGTTCATCTGTTTGTCCAGAAGGTATTAATATAGTTTCATTTGTATGTTGATGTGTTGTTGATGAAGATGTATTTGGTGCATGTTCAATTTTTTTCTTTTTTGTAAATACGATTGCTTTTGGACCTGTCGTATTGTTTGTTTCTTCTATTTTACCTCTGCCTTCTTCCTCCATTTGTCGAAGTATCAATAAATATTGATCTTTGCTTATTTTTCTTTTTAGATTTGCTGGTAGTGATGATAAAAGAAGTCGATCAGATGGATGATTTTCAATATATTTCTTTATATGCATTACTTCATTTTCTGGTACATTCATATTATCTATAAAATCAAATTATGATCATGATGATGTAAATATTATATGAAGACTTTTCTGTTATTAGCAAAATAAAAATTTTCTTTCTTATAAAATACTTCTAGTTTTTATTTTAGTGGTTTATATATAATCAATAAAAAATATTCATTCTTAACGGATATGAAAGCAAATAAAACGTATTTATCTTACATTTTTTATTCAATAAAACATGATCGGTTATTGGATCATAGCCAGCTAATATTTTAATTTGATTAAGATAAAATTTTGTTAATAATGAAGCTCGAAAACAAGTATCATAATCAATTAAATGATCATCTTCGTTTAGTTCTTGTTCTGTACAAATTATTTTGAATTTATCATCAAGAACGCCAAATGATTTAATATGTTGAACCATATTGAATAATCGACAAGAACATATTTTAAGAATGTGAAGAACGAGCGATAAACGTTCAACTCGTTCCATTGATTTTTGATAACAACTAATTATACAGAAACTTAATCAATTAATGCAATAAATAAATAAATAAATAGGCTACCTTGCTAAAAAATCATCTTCATTCGATTTGTCGGATGACAGTATATCATAATCATAAATCACATTTTTAATAAATTTTTTTGCTATATAAAATAAAAAATAATCTATCATTTATGAAAATAATAAAATTACCTTCGTCGTTATAGATGTATTCTTCTGTGTTACGATGTAGTTTTTTAGTTAAATAAAACAAATGACCGAGTTTTGGTATTTTTTTATTTGGTTCAATTATTTCTCGGTTAGGACGATGCTTATATGCAACAGCAATCAAAAACCGATTAAATAAACCATCATCATTTTGATCTTTCGGATCTTGAGATTTTAAAGCAATACCTAATAAATCGAATCGTAAAAAGACATATTTATTTATTTTTAAATAGTTTACCTGTTAAACATTCAATTGTTCGTTTTGGATGCCCAGCTGCTATAATATTTAAACGTGGTTTAATCATGACATTATGTCTACTAACGAGTTGTCGACGAACAATACCAGTTGGACTATAAAACTCACACATTAAACCACGATCATATGCAGTTCGATCAACACGTGTGCTTCCGAAAATACCAAAGAAAACAGATAATTCATCCCATAACTAGAACAATTTTATTTATTATATTTAAGTAATACAAAAGATATCTAACTTGTAATAAATTCGGTTGTTGTTCCAATTCACAACATAACGATTCCATATTGACTGATGCATTGATAGATGACTTTTTGACAGTTGTACCATCTAATGCTTCTACAGCTTCACAAGCTTCTTTTACTATTCTTATAGATGCACTTTTCTTGGAACCTAGAAAAGAAATCATAAATGATAATAACAATAACTATTCATAATATTTTGTTAATCGTCTATTTTTCTACTAATAAAAAAGTATGTAATAAAATTATGAAATATATTTTATTTAAATATTTTCTCAAGTTTAGTATTTTAACTATTTTCAAAATTTAAAAAACATACCACTTCCTCCACATAAAATACCGAAAAGAATTAATGGTGTATTATAAGCTTGAGCACCTTTTAATGAAGCTCCCATTGTCCAATGACAAAGGGCAATAATTGTTGTTAAGAAGATATAATCTATTGAAACATTAGTTGTTTGAGCAATTTCATTTATTATTAGAAATGAATATTCATCCAAAATAAGTCGTAGATCTAATTTTTCAACAATACATTGTTTCATTCTACGAATACGTTCACATTTTTCCATACTTCTTTACAATCAACAACATAAAATACATATAAAAA